GTCTCAAGACGGCCCAAGAGGCCGCCAAGACGGACCGAGAAGGCTCCAAGAGGCCTTCCTGGAGAGCCCGAGGGAGCACCATTGATTGTCCTTGTGTGTTTGACGGATGTTGAAGTTCTCGCCTGTTCGGGTTTCCGACCACCCAAGACGGCCCAAGATGCTTCCAAGAGGCCTCCAAGATATCTCCATGCCAAGAGGCCCCCAAGAGACCCCCAAGTCGGCCCAAAAGGGTCCAAGTATTGCCCAAGGGGCTCCCGAAAAGGGCCCCAAGACGGCCTGGAAGCGCTCCAAAAGAGCAACACAATTACCCAGAGAGGCCTCGTGGGCTGCCGTGGGCGGTCGAACACCCAACCATGCCAGAACCTCAAACTCCTTCAAAGCATAACGACAATCAATGATGTTGGCCTCCTCGGGCCCTACTGGAGGGCGAGATCTATTGGGCCGTCTTGGGGCCTATTGATCTGCCTTGAGGCCTTCTTTGGAGCCTCATGGCATCCAGGACTGCGCCACGGCAGCCAAGATGACGCCAACATGGCCCAAGGTGGCCCACGACGGCTCAAGAGGCACCCGAGGCCCAAGAAGGCAGATCAAGAAGCCCCCAAAACAGCCCAAGAAATCTCAAAGAGACCGTCCTGGAGAGCCCGAGGCCAACACCATTCAATGTCCGAAGGTGTTTGATAGATTTCGAAGCTCTCACCTGTTCGGGCGTCCGAGCCCAAGTCGGCCCCTGAAGCCTCCAAGATGCTTCCGAACTAATTTCAAGGCAACCCAAGAGGAAACTCCAGAAGATTGCCCAAACGGCTTCCAAGAGGTCCCCAAGTCGGCCGTGAACAGCTCCAAGAGTGCACCAACGCGACCTAGAGAGGACCCCAAGGCGGCCTCCATATGCGTCAAGCAGGCCGAGAGCCCTAAGACGGCACAAGCATCCCCACGAGGCCCCAAAGAAGCTTTCAGAAAGCTCCCAGGAGGCCCCCAGGAAGCCACAAGAAGGCCCCAAGAAGCATTCTCCTCCTCATCCTCATGTACTGTCCTCCTCCTCCTCCTCCTCCTCCTCCTCCTCCTCCTCCTCCCCCTCCTCCTCCTCCCCCTCCTCCTCCTCCCTACCGCGCGAACGAAGATGAGGTCCGGATCACGACGCGCCCCAGTGCGGACTACTCGTCGGAATTTCGCTGTTTCTACACTCAGCCTCCTTCCTGCTGCGCATTTGCACAGGCACGGTGGCGGGGTTTGCCGCAGGCAATTGGATAAGAAGTCTGGAATACTGGGTAAGTCTAGCGGGAATGATCTACTGAATCGTTCGGCTTCGTGCGTGCAACAAGCAATTCGAACCTAGCCACAATACGATGATGAGCGATGTTACGCGATGATGCTTGTAATGCTGGCCAAGGGGATCGGCGCACGGATGCCTGGTCGTGATGCTGATGGTGACGATTATGATGCCGATGTGATGATGATCATGGTGATGAGGAGGATGAGGATGATGGTGAGTGGTGACGGCGATGGCGACCATCGTCTTGGACGTGGGGGCGAAGTGCTCTCGTCTCGTCGTGGGCCTGGCAGCGGGTCCTGGCCGACCACCTGAGCGCGCGCGCACGCCGGGGGGGGGGGGGGACGCACCCCGCCTTCGCGGCACGCTGAACACATCTGGCCAAGGATTTTTGCGCCTGCGGGCCGCTGGAGCACTCCACTGGCCGCGGCTGGAGCCGTTCCTGCCTCGGGGGCGCGCAAGCAGGGGGGGCGTCCAGGAGGGGGGGTCGCAAGTCATGGCCCGAGGTATGTGCGCGGTCCAGGAGGAGGGCGCTGGAGGCGTTGAATTAAACTTAGCCCTGCAATCCATTGAGATCTCCAATCGTGGAACAACATAATACATAAACATGAACTTTCGGAGGTCCGCGCGGAGCTTCGAAAGAGAATGCTTATGCCAAAGTTTGTTCTTTGGTCAAAGATCTGGCCGTAATATCCAACCCCCTCTGGTCATCACACCCTCTTGGCCGCCCCCGACGAGCGCCTCCGCTGGCTCATCCCCGAGGCCGCGGACACCTTCGCGCACAAAGATGCTTGTTTTCTATTCGAGCTCTGCTCCGCCGCAGCGACGCACCATCAACCAGCCAGCTACCGGCGAGATACGCAAGAGCGAACCTGCATGCGGGTACCTGTGCGCGCAACTCCGAGCGCTCCACTGGACTGAACTACGTGTCGTGGGGTCGTCCCTCTTGATCCGCATTGAGCCCTGCGCGGGGCTCTCGTGCGCGGTCGCTTCCTTTTATGGCGATCCTGGGACGACCGTGTGACTGTGGCTGTGGCGCGACTTCCTCTCGGGCGGGGCGAAAGGGGGGGTTCCCGGCGCCTCCTGGCGCCGGAGGCGGCCATGTATGGAGGAATGGGCCCGGCGGCGGGGCCGAAACCAGCTGCATGCAGCAGATGTCGTAACCCCCGCTTTCCCTATCCCCCCCTTTCGTTCGGCCCGATCCTCTCCTCGGGGCCCATGCAGCGACTCGATCTAGGTGGTGGCGGCTGCAGCGGAGGCTGCTGCAGGCTGCCGCCTCGCTCCTTGGCGCCGCACCATCCACAGGGTGCCAAAGGCCTCGGTGAAAGCAAATGCCTCGCTGGAGGCACGAACGTTGCCATGGGAAGGAACCCACCCCTCATCACAAAGGAGTCTCTTCTTGAAACATCATATAGACCATGTCGCTCACGTAACCGTGGGGGCGATGATGATGAGACCCATCTGGCCTGCTCGGAACCTCTGACACCGTGAAACCTTGACTGCACATGTGCCTGAGGGGGCGCGCAGCTCGCTTCCGCCAACTTCCGCCAGCCTTCCGCTGGGAAAGCCGCCCTCGATGTGCTTCCGCCGGCCTTCCGCCAAAGGACAAAAATCAATTCCTCCATCCGAGGGCGAAACTGAGGAGGCCCACGGGTACCGATACCGCTACTCCCCAGGCCTCTCATGGGGCGCGTTCTGACCAAAATTCCACGGCGAATCCAGCGGTGGCGACGAGGGTCTCCCAGGAAGGGTAGCGGCATCGGTACCTTCTCCTCGGCGGCAAGCGAGGGTGGAAGTGAGAAAGGGCGGGCCTTCTCAGAGAGCTCGAAAGCCCCCCAGCCATCTGAGAAGTTCTCTGAGCCTTCCTGGAAAACATTAAAAACATGATCGACCCACGAACCCGGAAAGGAATCTAGAAATGTAAGGCATTGCAACATTTCAAAGACACCTGATTGGGCGACGGGCACATGCAATGCTGAATGTATCGATGATGATGTACTGTGCCGAGGGCTGTGCTGTGCTACGCCGTGCTGAACTGCGATGTGCCATGCCGCGATTGTGCTCTATATTGCGTTGTGGATCGAGTCCTCCCTGGCATCCGAGTCCTCACCGAACTGATCTGGAGCGTAAGCTCGAGCTGCCTGAGCAGATGGTAGCTGCCCCAGGACTAATCGACAGAGGGAACATGCCAGGAGGACGCGCCGCGGAACGTCCCAAGGGACGCGCCAAGCAACGTGCCAGGGGACGTGCCATGGGGACGCACCGCGGGACGTGCCAAGGGGACGCGCTACGGAACGTGCCAATGGACGTGCCGAGGGACGTGGCAGGGGACGCGCCGCGCGACGTGCCAGGTGGACTCGCCACGGAACGCGCCAAGGAACGTGCCAACGTGCCAAGGTGCATAGTTGAGTGTATCGATCTTGATGTACCGTGCCGACGGCTGTGCTGTGCTGGGCCGTGCTGAACTGCGATGTGCCATGCCGCGATTGTGCTCTATATAGCGTTGTGGATCGAGTCCTCCCTGGCATCCGAGTCCTCACCGAACTGATCTGGAGCGTAAGCTCGAGCTGCCTGAGCAGATGGTAGCTGCCCCAGAACTAATCGACAGAGGGAACATGCCAAGAGGACGCGCCGCGGAACGTCCCAAGGGACGCGCCAGGCGACGTGCCAGGGGACGTGCCATGGGCACGCACCGCGGGACGTGCCAAGGGGACGCGCTACGGAACGTGCCAATGGACGTGCACCGCGCGACGTGCCAGGGGGACTCGCCACGGGACGCTCCGCGGAACGTGCCAGGCAACATGCCAGGCTGCAATGCTAAGGGTATCGATATTGATGTACCGTGCCGAGGGCTGTGCTGTGCCTGGGCGACCTGGACACGTGAAAACACGCGTTTCGCTCAAGACGTTGTCAGCACATCCTCATGCTAGACATCCGCCTGGGCAACCTGGACACGTGCAAACAAGCGTCTCGCTCGAGACATCCTCAACAAATGCTCATGCTAGACATCCGCCTGGGCGACCTGGACACGTGAAAACAAGCCTCTGCTTCGAGACATCCTCAACAAATCCTCATGCTAGACATCTGTCTGGGCCACCTGGAGGCGTGAAACCAAGCGTCTCGTTCGAGACATCCTCAAGACCTGGGCACGTGAAAACAAGCAATCCACTTGAGAGATCCTCAGAATTCAGGTCCCCAGGAGAGGACAATCCAGGAGAGGACAATCTATAACACAAAACAAGCGTTTCGCTCGAGACATCCTCAACAAATTATGAACATCAAGCGTTTCGCTCGAGATATCCTCAAATTTGAATTCGCCGGCCCTGCGCGACCTCGTTATTTATCGCAAAATAAATTCGCCGGCCCTACAGCCGTCAAAACCGGAGGTAAACCTACTAAAAGAGAACCGGGCCTACGCCCTTTCCGGGAAAAACCTCTCCGAAGGGGCGATGGCCTCCGAGAAGTCCCGCCGCCTTCTGAGAAGGCCCTCTCCTTCTCACTTCCCCCCTTCGCTCGCCGCCAAGCTCCTCCCCTGATCTGAGGGGTAATGATAGGGGGGAACTGGCATAGGAGGGGATGTATCGACCTGGTATCGGCGATACATCGCCGATAGATCGGCGATAGGCCCCCGATAGTGAATCCACACCTTCCTGTGCAGTTGGGGCTATCGGGCCCCTCTCGGCGATCAATGGGCGATTTGGGGTCGATGCATCCCCCCCTATGCCTGTCCCCCCTATCGTCGCCCCCGATGATCTCCATCCTCCGCAGGCGAAGCCCTCTTTTTGGAGCGCCTGAACTCTGCCGCGCAGGTATGCACCAGGGGCCCGGCGCAGAGCGCCGCACCTCCGGAGAGCCCGGCCCCGCGCCCGGCGCGGGAGATGCCGCAACTCTCCGCGAGGTAGCCCCCCGAGCGCCTGGCTGACCGCGAGCCGCCGGCGTTCACTGTCGCAGGCGATCTGTCTCTCCCAATCCCCGAGTTCCACCCGAAAAGCTTGGCCGTTCGAGGGGGAAACCCTGGGATACATCCCAAGGGGGGGTATAGATCACCGGGGGCCTTGGCTACCCTAGGCCCTACCCAAGGCCCTAGGCTTCCCAAGGGTAGGCCCTACCCAAGGCCCTAGGCTTCCCAAGGGTAGGCCCTACCCAAGGCCCTAGGCTTCCCAAGGGTAGGCCCTACCCAAGGCCCTAGGCTTCCCAAGGGTAGGCCCTACCCAAGGCCCTAGGCTTCCCAAGGGTAGGCCCTACCCAAGGCCCTAGGCTTCCCAAGGGTAGGCCCTACCCAAGGCCCTAGGCTTCCCAAGGGTAGGCCCTACCCAAGGCCCTAGGCTTCCCAAGGGGTAGCCCTAGGGTAGCCCTAGGGGTGGGCCCCAGGGGTAGCCCCAGGGTAGCCCTAGGGTAGGCCCTAGGGGTAACCCTTTATTGCGGATTACAATATGATTCCTTTGGTCGGGCGACCGCGGCCCCGGCGCCGCAGACCCCCCCTCGCAGACCCCCCCTCTGGGACCCCCCCTCGCTGACCCCCCCTCGCAGACCCCCCCTCACAGACCCCCCCTCTGGGACCCCCCCTCGCTGACCCCCCCATCGCTGACCCCCCCTCGCAGACCCCCCCTCGCAGACCCCCCCTCTGGGACCCCCCCTCGCTGACCCCCCCTCTGGGACCCCCCTCACAGACCCCCCCTCGCTGACCCCCCCTCGCAGACCCCCCCTCGCTGACCCCCCCTCTGGGACCCCGGACCCCCCTCGCTGACCCCCCCTCTGGGACCCCCCCCAGACCCCCCTCGCTGACCCCCCCTCGCAGACCCCCCCTCGCTGACCCCCCCTCGCTGACCCCCCCTCTGGGACCCCCCTCGCTGACCCCCCCTCGCTGACCCCCCCTCACAGACCCCCCCTCGCAGACCCCCCCTCGCAGACCCCCCCTCTGGGACCCCCCCTCGCAGACCCCCCCCTCGCAGACCCCCCCTCTGGGACCCCCCCTTCACAGACCCCCCCCTCGCTGACCCCCCCTCGCTGACCCCCCCTCGCTGACCCCCCCTCTCTGACCCCCCCTCTGAGCGGATTGCATGTTGATTCCCCTTGGTAGCGGATTACAACTTGATGCCTTAGTCGGGCGGGCGGGCGGGACATTAAAGGCATTGGTTGCTTGCTCGTGTGGTGGATTACCAATTGCTTCCCGTTGGTACCGGATTACGAGTAGATTCCATTTGTGGCGGATTACAAGCTGATTCCTTTTGTCGGGCGGGCGGGCGGGACATTAAAGGCATATGGCAAACTGATTCTTATTGTGGCAGATTACACATTGATTCCTTTTGTCTGGCGGGCGGGCGGGACATTAAAGGCAATGATTGCTTGTTTGGTGAATTGCGAATGGATCCCCTTTGGCAGCGGATTTTAAGCTTATTCCTTTGGTCGAGCGCCTTTTGCCTGGCGGGCGGGCGGGACATTGAAGGCAATAATTGCTTGCGTGGTGAATTACAAGTGGATTCCCTTTGGCAGCGGATTGCAAACTTATTCCATTGGTCGGGCGGGCGGGCGGGACATTAAATGCATTGATTGCTTTCGTGGCGGATTACAAAGTGATTCCATTTGGCAGCGGATTGCAAGTTGATTACTATTATGGCGGATTATAAGCTGATTCCTTTTGTCGGGCGGGCGGGCGGGACATTAAAGGCATTGCTTGCTTGTGTGGCGGATTACACAGACTGAAGGCCCTAGGCTTCCCAAGGATAGGCCCTACTGGACACCCTAGGGTAGCCCTAGGGTACCCCTAGGGGTAGGCCCCAGAGGTAGCCCTAGGGTAGCCCTAGGGGTAGGCCCTAGGGTAGCCCTAGGGTAGTAGGCCCTAGGGGTAGCCCTAGGGTAGCCCTAGGGGTAGGCCCTAGGGGTAGCCCCAGGGTAGCCCTAGGGGTAGGCCCTAGGGTAGCCCTAGGGTAGCCCTAGGGGTAGGCCCTAGGGTAGCCCTAGGGTAGCCCTAGGGGTAGGCCCTAGGGGTAGCCCTAGGGTAGCCCTTCCTTGGGTGATCTATAAGCAAGGGGGGCTACTCGGATGGACGCCCCCCGTCGTATGTCCCACGGTTGGGCCCAAAATGTCTGGTCCATTCGAAAACACCCCGAAGCCTGGGATGGGGAGCGACGTATCCCCTGCTTCACTGCCGTGAGCCTGCTCTGTACTACTGCCGGGCCTCGAGGTGCCAAACTGCGGGGGAACGGTGCGGGAGGGGACTGGCTCGGGAAAGGAAACACCGATCTGGAATCGGCGGTACATCGCCGACAGGTGGACGACAGGCCCCCGATAGCGAATCCGCGCGCTCCTGGGCGTAATGGACCCTCGGGCCCCTGTTGGCGATGAAGGGGTGATCGGGTGTTCCTGCGTTCCCGCCCTGAGCCTCTCAACCCCCCTAACGTTAGGTCGGGCATGGCCCCATACAGGCGGACTTTGTACACAGACTTAGAACCAGTCATATTCACAGACATGGGCAAAACATATCGGGAACATCGTCCCCAGACTAATTGTTTGACTACTTTCGAATATTCCTCCTGCAGAGGGACATGCCCGACTTAACCCCAACGCTGCCTCTGACGAGCATATCCGCCGCGCCTCTGGGCAGCCCGTGCCTGTCCAGCGCGAGACGGGCCCCAACCCGGCGGCGCTCCCCCGCGCTGGGCACCCGCCGGCAGGCGGCTCGGCCCAACCTGGGCCTGCTCCTGGCTGTATACTGCCCCGTGGTGCACCACGCCTGCGCCATCGCCCAATTGCCGGCCGCGCGAACTCAGGGATCTGCTGACCCGGGTCAATCCAGACCCGGGTCAGTCAGGCCTTGCAAGAATCCTGCGAGGGCCTGCACCCAAACCCGGGTCAACGCGAAGGATCCTGCGAGATCCTGCGGGATACTGCACCCAAACCCGGGTCAGTGCGCCCCTGGCCCTGCAGGATCTTGCAAAATCTGCGCCCTGACTGGTCCCCGTTTGCATTGACCCCCGTCTCAAGCCTCCCGACGAACCGCGAACGCCACTCGCCCGGCGCGCCGATGGGGGTGCTGGTGGAGGGACAACTACTGGCGACCATGACCAAACCTGAGCGCAGGAACGTCGGTGTCGATCTGGGTCACCGTCAATTCGTAGATCATCCTCACGAGTCGGCAACGGCTGGCATGGACCATGGCAAAGATCGGCGTCGGCAAGATCCCACGACGACTTGGTCAATAGGTCATGGGCATCGTGTTTCGTCCTTCGGGATGGGGCAGCGACCTGTTGAGAAGGCGGGGGGCGCCTCCAGGGAGAGCTTGGAGGAGCCGCTAAGAAGAAATCAATCAGACTTAGAATAACTGGCATGAGCGGAACAAATTCTGCGGGAAATTGCCCTGGATCCCGGTTGTTTTCCTCAGACCTGGCTTCTCATCCCGACTCTTTATTTGATGGTCTCGGGGCCCATGGAGGGTCGCGGGATCCAGAAACCTGCGAAGAGCATGCAGCACGTGCTTCCCTCATGGCCCCTACCCTGCACGGCGGCAAGAAGCCCCCTGCCTTCCAAAAGAAGGCCGCCCACCTCTGGCGCGGCGCCGACGCGGTCAGAAGCCTCGTGCGCTCAGAGCCTGTACGCGCGGAGCTGCTCGTACAAGGCCAGCACCAAACCCATGTTCACCGCCGTCTGGAAGACCTTGACCCCAAAGCCTGCGTAGAAGCGCCGCACGCCGCCCGCCCGGTACTCCGCCACCAGCGTGCTGGACCACCCGAGGTGGGGCCCCGCATCCTCGACTGCCCGCCGCTGCATGGTGAGCCGCACCACGTTGTTCCAATTACAGAGCGCGCAGGCGGCGCTGCTGCCCAGGAAGCCGGCGAGGAAGGGCGAGCCCGTCGCCTCGTGCAGCGGGCGGCGGGCGCCGAACTGCACCGCGTAGAACGCCGTGAACCCGGCCAGGGACGGGCCCAGCGCGGGGTAGAGCCCTGGCACACCCCTGGACGCCATCAGCCGCAGGATCCCCAGGGTGCCCGCGTCGCACACCCGCGTCTGGCCCACCCCCGCGCGCCGCACCGTCTGCACCACGTCCAGCGGGTACAGCAGCAGCGTCTGCGCCGCACCCGCGAGGGCCCCCGCCGCGACGTCGGGCACGCCGAGGACGTGCCTGCAGCTGTCCACGAGCCCGACGGTGACGCCGCGCGCCGCGCCGCCGCGCAGCGTATCCAGGAGCCCGCCGCGGAAGAAGCCGCGCCACCCCTTGAGCGCGAGCACGCGGGCGGCGGTGCGCCGGGCGCCCAGCCCGGCGGCCTCGCGGCAGCTCAGCAAGGGAACCTCAGTGGCGCGCGCCAGGGGGGCGCTTCTCAGGGGGTGCGACCCCCTGAGAAGCGCCACCCCCCCCTCCCACTTCAGGAAAGGCCCTCTTGCCCTTCAGCGAGGCCCTCCTGGAGGCCCCTGACAAGAGGGAGCAGGTCCCTCCCTCCCGCCGTCGCGGAGGGCTGCACGCAAGCCCGTGGAGGGCCAAGGGCGTGCAACACGCTTTGATCCTCAGAGGCCTCATGGTCTGGGCCCGAAGGGGGGGGCGATGATGTCTAGGGTTAAGTCGGGCCTGGTCCCCACAGGGAGATTTTGAAGGAAAAATGAAAAACAATCAAAAAACATGATCGACCCACGAACCCGGAAAGGAATATCGACATGTAACGCATGGCAACGTTTTCAAAGACACCTGATTGGGTGACGGGCAAGTGCAATGCTGATTGTATCGATCTTGATGTACCGTGCCGAGGGCTGTGCTGTGCTGCACCGTGCTGAATTGCGATGTGCCATGCCGCGGTTGTGCTCTATAGCGTCGTGGATCGAGTCCTCCTTTGCATCCGAGTCCTGACCGAACTGATCTGGATCTTAAGCTCGAGCTGCCTGAACACATAGTAGCTGCCCCAGAGCTAATTGACAGGGGACATGCCAGGAGGACGCGCCGCGAAACGTCCCAAGGGACGCGCCAGGCGACGTGCCAGGGGACGTGCCATGGGGTCGCACCGTAGGACGTGCCAAAGGGACGCGCTACGGAACGTGCCAATGGATGTGCCACGGAATGTGCCAGGGGACGCGCCACGCGACGTGCCAGGGGGACTCGCCAAGGGACGCCCCACGGAACGTGCCAAGGAACGTGCCAGTTGCAATGCTGTTGTATCGATCTTGATGTACCGTGCCGAGGGCTGTGCTGTGCTGCACCGTGCTGAATTGCGATGTGCCATGCCGCGGTTGTGCTCTATAGCGTCGTGGATCGAGTCCTCCTTTGCATCCGAGTCCTGACCGAACTGATCTGGATCTTAAGCTCGAGCTGCCTGAACATATAGTTTCTGCCCCAGAGCTAATTGACAGGGGGACATGCCAGGAGGACGGCCGCGGAACGTCTCAAGGGACGCGCCAGGCGACATGCCAGGGGACGTGCCATGGGGACGCACCGCGGGACGTGCAAAGGGGACGCGCTACGGATCGTGCTGGGGACAAGCGTTTCGCTCGAGACATCCTGTCAACATCCTCATTCTAGACATCCGCATGAGCGACGTGGACACGCGAAAACAAACGTTTCGCTCAACACATCCTCAACACATTCTCATGCTAGACATCCGCCTGGGCGAACTGGACACGTGAAAACAAGTAGTTCGCTCGAGACATCCTCAACACATCTTCATGTGAGACGTCCGCCTGGGTGACCTGGGCATGTGAAAACAAGCGTTTCGCTCGAGACGTTTTCAACACCTCCTCATTCTAGACATCCGCCTTGGCGACCTGTACACGTGAAAGCAAACGTCTCGCTCGAGACATCCTCAACACATCTTCATCCCTGACATCCGCCTGGGCGACGAGGACGCGTGGAAACACGCGTTCCGCTCGAGACATCCTCAACAAATCCTGGCGCTAGACCTCTGCCTGGGCGACCTGGAGGCGTGAAACCAAGCGTCTCGCTCGAGACATCCTCAAGACCTGGGCACGTCAAAACAAGCATGTCACTTGAGAGATCCTCTGAATTCAGGTCCCCAGGAGAGGACACTCTATAACACAAAACAAGCGTTTCGCTCGAGCCATCCTCAACAATTTCTGAACAACAAGCGTTTCGCTAGGGACATCCTCAAATTTTAATTCGCCGGCCCTACGCGACCTTGTTATTTTTCGCAAAAGAAGTTCGCTGGCCCTACAGCCGTCAATCCTGGGGGTAAACAGCTAAAAGAGAACCCTGGGCCTACGTCCTTTCCGGGAATAGCATAAAATGATCAAAAAAACAAAAAATAGTCCCCAGACTATTGTTTAATCATTTTTGAATATTCCCCCTGTAGAGGGACAGGCCCGACTTCAGTCTAGGGAGCCACCTCCTCCTCCTCCTCCTCCTCCTCCTCCTCCTCCTCCTCCTCCTCCTCCTCCTCCTCCTCCTCCTACACACCTCGTCGCCGTCTCCCCATCTCCCTCTCCCCTCCTCGCCCACGCCCTCGGCCCGCCGGGGAGCCACGACGCACTCCAAAGGCGTCGTGGCCGCCCGGACGAGGGCCCCCGCCAGCGCCGCGTCCCGGACGTCCAGCGCCGGCGAGCACGTCGCTGCCTGGGCCGCGCCTCCCGCCTTGCGCGGAGGAAGGGCCAGTGGAGAGGAGGGATTAGAGGAGAAAGGCAAAGGACGAGAAAACGGTAGACACCATAAACGTTCGGAGGACCGCGCGGGCGTCCTGGACCTGCGTTGGACCCCCTCCCTGGCTGGGCGGCGCCGGAAGCGCCGCCAAGGGGATCCAGCACAGATCCAAGAATTCCGCGCGGACCTGCGAGCGCTTATGTTCACGTAGCTGTTTTTTTCGAGAGGGGGAGTGAAGGGGAGCGTCAGGGGGGGGACGCCTCAAAGGGGGGCAAACACAGACACGCAATCTTTGGTTCATTGCCGACACATCGGCGATGCGCCCCCGATAACGAATCCGCACGCTCTACGGCGGGCCGGGCTAGCGATGAGAGATTGGGCTAGCGATTGGGGTCGATGCACCCCCTCTGAGCCGGCGGCCCCTCAAGGGGTCGCCACACGTCGTCGCCGCCGCCGTCAGGTCCTGGGCGTCGCAAGAGCATCGCGACGGCGGGTCTCTGTGTCGCGCTCGGCCTCTCCTGGAGGCCGCCCCCCCGGGGGCCGTCAGCAAGGCGACCCGCGAGGACGGGCCCCCGTGCTCCACATCACGAAGAGCTTGCGACGCCAGAGGAGAAGGTCTCCGCCGCCGCCGCCGCAATCGTGGTCGGTCCGTCGGTCGTCGCCGTTCTTGCCGCCGTCGCCGTCGCCGCCACCACCGTCGCCGTCGCCGTCATCGTCGTCGTGGTCGGCGGTCAGCGGTCGTCGAGGTCGTCATCGTCGTTGTCGTCGGAAGAGAACTGAGAAGAGGCACGAGGCGGGAGGGAGGGAGAAAGGAAAATGGAAGATCGGACCGACTCGGACAGCGTGCACGATGAGTACCACAGCACCGTACGACCATGAAGGAGGCAGGGAGGAGGAAGGAGAGGCCAGAACGAGGTGCGATGAGGGAGGGAGAAAGAGGGAGGGAAGAGAGAAACCAACGAGAAATGAGGGAGGGAAGGAAGGTAGGTGGGCAAGGCATGGAGATGAGGAGGAGGGGCCACAACGAGGTGCGATGAGGGAGGAAGAAAAGGGAGGGAAGAGAGAAGCGAACGAGAAAGGAGGGAGGGAAGGAAGATCGATGGGTAAGAACATGGAGATGAGGATGCCCCCCCTGGCACCGTGATGCGCGGCAACATGCGAAGGGCTGCAGTTGTACATTCGACCAGGATAGTCAGGATGCGCGGCGAGGCGAGGCGAGGCGCAGCGCGGCGAGGCGCGGAGGGGCGGCCCCAGGAGAGCCCGGCGGTGGCGCCAGAGCGCCATGAAGTGAGACTACACTCGACCAGGAGAATCAGGATGCGCAATCAAAATGCAGGGGCCCTGGAACGCCGTGTTGACGTTCTCCGTGCGGAGCGCAGCAGAATGCCGAAGGCTGGCGAACACCGCAGGGGCAGGGAAACAGGGGTAGCCTTGAGAAGTTGCCCCATCCTCACTATCATGGTTGACTGGAGGGTTGTCTGCGATTTTGCAAACAGGCTCCCTGCCTTCTCCTCACACTCACACGCGCGCATCGGACCCCCATACCGACCCTTCTTGGGCGCCATGTCGCCTCCCTGGAGCTATCCAAGGCCGTTGAGTGCGTGGAAGACGGCACAGAGAGGCAATCGAGAAGGCCACCAAGATGGCCCAACATTGCGTCAGTATGCGCCCAACGGTCCTCAAACAAAAACCCAAGTGGGGCCAGGCGGGCTCCATGAGGCTGCCAACACATCACGGAGAAAGCCAGGAGGCATTCCAAGAATGCCGAAAATACTAAACCTGGAACTCCACAAACGTTCAAACATTTCCCCGATTGCCAACCCTCTCGGCTCAAAACTGTTCCAAGAAGCTCTCCGCGGAACTGCGCGACCGCCAAACGAGCCCAACGGGAGCCTGAGAGAGATCCCCCCAGACGGCTCCAGGCGGCCCCAAGAGGGCCCCAGGACTGGCAGCGAAATGCCAAGGACACTCCAAGCGAGCCTCAGGATTGCCCCAAGAGGCCTCCAAGAGACCTCAAAGATGGCAGAGAGGCGTGCAAGACAGAATAAGATGGCCCCAGAGTGCCCCAGGACAGCCCAAGAGGGCCCCAAGGTGGCCTCACAGAAATCCGAGTATTACTCTACGACGGCTGCGTTACGCTCCATGAGAACCCCTCGGGGAGTAGAGATGTTTGCTATAACCTTGTCGGCGCCGCCACGTAGAATGCTGCGCAAGCACGGTGGCAAACAACTGCCGCAGACACACACACACACACACGCACACACATATATATATATATATCTATATATGTATATATATATATAGTCACACACATGTGTACATATGTACAGATCTCGCAGGAGGACATGGCAGGGGGGGAACACTATTGTAGTTCCTGGTGAGATCCATTACCCGACGCCACAGCAGAACGCCAACCAACAACTGTCGCATCAGAAGAATGATTCCCCTGATTAAGAGTAATATCACAGGTTGCGGTCCAGCCATCTGGTTTGTCGGAGCGTGTGCTGTGGGCTACGTTTTCTTTATCCTGATCGTCCTCTGCCTTCTATTATTCGTCCACATCCTCCTTCGCCATTTTGTCTCAAACCCTCGGGTGTCTGTGGGCTCACTCCAACCTCGCCGAAAAACAATGCGTTGGGCAGGATCGAGCCACCTCCCGTCAGAACTAGCTGGGGCACTATTTTGAGGGCACGCTGGTGATCTCGGGGAACCATCTGGCGCTGCCTGGGGGTGGCTGCCCAATGCACCCCAATCGAGCTTCTGTTGCTTGCAGTCCCGCAAGTCCTCCGCTGTCCACAAACGAACTGCAACAACACGTCTCGCACGCGAGCGAGCTGGTGCAGGCCGCAGCCTACGGTGCTGCAGCGCTGAGCTTGTACAGTCAACCAGCATAATAAGAATGCGCGATAAGGATTCAAGGGCCTTGGACGCCCATTTTGAAGCTGTTCGAGCGGGGCGCAGCCAGCGAAAGCGGCGAAGGATGGACCGAGGAGGCAAGGATGCAAGGGTACCCTTGAGAAGGTTGCCCATCCTTACTATGCGGGTTGACTGTAGCGTCATCGGAGCAGGCATCCTGATATCAAATGCTACTGCAATGCTGCAGGATAGCGCAGCCCCATGCAGAAACTATGCGGTGCTTCTGGATCCCACCCAATTTCGATGCTGACCGCGTGATCGGCGGGATCCGCGCCGCCGCCGAGGGCGGCCGCCGATGGCGGCGGTTCGCCAAGGTCCGCCGAGGGTCGCCGCTCTTTCTCCGCACCTGCCCCTCCTCCTTCTTCTCATCCCCGCCTGCCTCTTGCTGCTGCTGCTGTTGCTCCTCCTCCTCCACCTCCTCCTCCTCCTCCTCCTCCTCCTCCCAAATCCATTCGGACTATGTCCGCTGTCCCGCAAATCTTCGGGCCGCGTCGGGCCATGGCGACCAGAACCTCAAGTGAAGCACGAACACCTTCGAAACCGCGACGGGGACGAGGATGAGGACGCGGACGACATCGACGACGACGACGACGATCAAGACCTCAGGAGTGGTCTGCAGGGCCCGCTGCCGATCGCCCCAAGGGCGTCCTTTGACGTCCCCCCGGGGGGCTCCAGAAGCTAGAATGATATATAACGGCATGACCAAAAACGCTGGGAGCTGCGCGAGGACGTATTGGCTCCGCGCTTGGACCCCCCTCTCTGGCGCGCGGTGCACGCCAGGGGCGGCGCTGGAGGCGCAACCAGGGGGATCCAGCGCCGATGGCAAGAAATCCGCTCGGAACTCCGACAGGTTCTGCTTATGCAATGTTTCGCTTTCGAGAAGCTGAAGGGGCCCACGGACACACAAATAAATACACACACACATCCCACGCCGATCCTGCGTGTGAGTTTGTGAGAGCGTGGGCCTGAGCTCGCTCAAGCTTCGCTCTGGAGAGGGGGGGGGGCGACGAATTCCAACGCATTTCAATGAACGCACAAACTCTGGAGAGGGGGGGGGACGCTTCGCTCTGGAGAGGGGGGGAAGGGGCCAGGGACGAATTCCAACGGAATTCACTGAAAGCACAAGCTCTGGAGAAAGGGGAAGGGGGGGACGCTTCGCTCTGGTGAGGGGGGGTGGGGACGAATTCCAACGGAATTTACTGAACGCGCAAGTTCTGGAGAGGGGGGGGGACGAATTCCAACTGAATTCACTGAACGCACAAGCTCCCCCGCCTCCCACATATACCCACTTCCCTCTCTCCGAGAGGCATCTTCTCTCTGACCCCCCCCCGACAGCCCCCCCCCCAAAAAATAGACCCCCCCCCTTCCAGGACAGACCCCACCCCTCTCCGACAGACCCCCCCTGCCCCCTCTCCGAACAGATCCTCCACCCCCCCCCTCTCCGACAGAGATTTCCTTCTCCGACCGACCCCTCCCTTCTCTCCACCCCCCCCCCCTTTCTCCGACAAGCCCCCCCCCCCTAGAACAGCAGCACAAGCAGCACAAGCAGCAGCAGCCGCAGCAACATCAGACGTCCCCTCTGCTTCTTGACAAGTCTCTCCCTCTCTCCTACAAATCTCTTCCCACCCCTCCCCGACATACCCCCCCCCCTCCAAGACAGACACTTCCTCCCCTGGCCCCCCCTCCCCACACAGACCTCTCCCGCTCCCGCAAACCCGTCCCCCGTCCTCTCCGACCCCCCCCTCTCTTCTCCGACACGCTTGCTATCCCTTTCTCCGATAGACTCCCCCCCTCTTCCCCTCCTCCCCTACACCGACGTCTCGCGCTTTTACCCCGCCCCTCCAAGACAGACCCCCCCCCCTCCGACATATCATTCCGTTCTTCCGCTTTCTCTCCTACACCCCCCCTCCAAGACAGACCCCCCCTCGCTTCCGACATATCCCTTTCCGCTCTTCCGCTTTCTCTCATACAGACCCCCCTGCTCTCACAGACCCCCCCCCCACTCCGACAGACCCCCCCTCCGGGACAGACCTCACCTCTCCGAGAAATATTTGTCCTTCTTTCCGACAGAGCTTGTCTCCTACAGGTCCCCCCCCCCGCTCTCACAGACCCCCCCCCCCACACACACTCCGACAGACCCCGTCCACCATCCAGGTCAGACCTCACATCTCTGAGAAATCTCCTCCCTATCTTCCGACAGAGCCTCTCTCCTGTCCTGGACAGACGCGGCCCTCTCTCCCACACTTCCCCCGCCCCTTCGACAACCCCCCCCTCCCCCAACAACAAAGCCCCCCCCTCTCCCCTTCCGACATATCCCTTTCCGCTCGTCCGCTTTCTCTCATACAGACCCCCCTGCTCTCACAGACCCCCCCCCACTCCGACAGACCCCCCCTCCGGGACAGACCTTCCGAGAAATATCCTTCCTTCTTTCCGACAGAGCTTGTCTCCTGTCCTGGACAGACGCGGCCCTCTCTCCCACACTTCCCCCGCCCCTTCGACAAACCCCCCCTCCCCAACCAACAACAGACTCCCCCTCTCCCCTTCCGACATATCCCTTTCCGCTCTTCCGCTTACTTTCCTACATGCCCCCCCCCCCGCTCTCACAAACACCCCCCCACACACCGACTGATCCCCACCTACCCAGGGCAGACCTCACCTCTCCGAGAAACCTCCCTCTTTCCGACAGAGCCTCTCTCCTGTCCTGGACAGACCCCGCCCTCTTCCACAATCCCCCCTCGACAGACCCCCCATCCCCCAATTAGAGTAGCTCAAGCAGCAGCAGCAGAAACAGCAGCAGCAGCATGAGCAACAGCACCAACAGCAGAACGAACAGCATCAGCACAGCGCGCAGACGCATCCCAAACGGCCCGCGACGACTCGCAGACATACCCCCCCTGTTTTAGGACAGACCCCACCCCCCTCCGACAGATCTCTTCCCTCCTCCCCGACAGCCCCCCCCACCCCTCCAGGACAGACGCCCCCCTCCGACTGACCACTCCCCCCAAACAAGAGCAGCACAAGCGGCAGCAGCATCAGCAACAGCACCAACTGTAGCACGAGCAGCATCAGCAACATTACCAGCGCACTTCCACAGACGCGTCCCAGACGGTCCGCGACGACTCGCAGACACATCTCTCATGTTTCAGATCAGATCCCCCCCCCTCACCGACCGATCTCTTCCTCCCCTCGTCGACGGACCCCCTGGCCTCCAAGACAGACCCCCCCTCCCCCGGCCATCCCGCACCCACCTCCGAGATGCTCCAAGATAGCCTTAGATGCATCAACATGAATCCGAAGATGCTTCAAGAGGCCTCGAGACCGCCCCAAGACGGCTCCAGACACCAAATAGCTCCCCAAGGAAACTTCCGAGAAAGAAACATCATTCGAAAACCTAAGGAAATCGAATGACGTCTGCCCTTAGCCTATTCCCTTCCGAGGACCATCCGAGGCCACAGGATGCCTCCAAAAGACCACCAGAGGGACCCAAGAGCGCCCAAGAGAGAAGCCCAAGAGAGCCCCAAGGCCGCCCTAAGAGCGCCCCCCCCTCTGTCACAGACACCCCCGCCCACTCCGACAGACCCCCCTTCCTCCAGGACAGACCTCACCCCTCCGAGAAATCCCCTTCCTTCTTTCCGACAGAGCCTCTCTCCCGTCCTGCACAGACCCCGCCCTCTCTCCGACAACCCCCCCTCTCCTTCCTTCTTTCAGACTGACCTGTCTCCCCTCCGACAAGCTCCCCCCCCCTCGACAGACCCCCCAAACAAGAGCAGCACAAGCAGCATCAGCAGCATCAGCAACAGCACCAACAGCAGAACGAGCAGCATCAGCAGCATTACTCGCGCACGGCCACAGACGCATCAACATCATCATCATCATCATCATCATCATCATCAGCAGCAGCATCATCACCACCACCATCATCAGCATCAGCATCAGCATCAGCATCATCATCAGCATCATCATCACCAGCATAATCATCAGCATCAGCATCAACATCAGCATCAGCATCAGCATCAGCATGATCATGATCATGATCATCACCATCACCATCACCATCACCATCACCATCACAATCATCATCATCATCATCATCATCATCATCATCATCATCATCATCATCATCATCATCATCATCATCATCATCATCATCATCATCATCATCATCATCATCATTCATCATTCATCATCATCATCATCATCATCATCATCATCATCATCATCATCATCATCATCATCATCATCATCATCATCCGGAGTGCCCCAGATGGACGGCACTGGCCGGAGGCCACTACAATGCACTCAAATCCTGGGATTCCCTCTATTTGTTCATATTGTCTGGATGTGCGTCTTCCGCCCACTTCCCATATGTTCGCATATGTTCACGGGAATCGACGATTCATTGTGCCTGTGATTTTTTCCTCCTGAAAGAAGCGGCCCCCCGGGGGGGCGCAAAACAGAAGACGGTCAAGAGACGGACCGCCGCCGACCTCCTGCAAGACGCAGGGGCCGCCGCCGAGGGGCCGCCTACGCCGAGGGGCCGTCCGCGGGACCGCCGCCGAGGGCTAGGTCGGGCGTGCCCTCCTACAGGCGGCATCTTGGCAGAAACCCGAATCGGCGACTCCTGGATGGGGTCCGAGTAGGTGGGGTCGGAGGATCGCGCCGCATCGCCGATGCATCGCCGACGTCGGCGGTGCATCGGCGACGCCAGCATGGAGAAAATAGAGCCCCGTGTCGAGCTGCATCGCCGCTGCATCGGCGATGTGGCGCGATCCTCCGACCCCATCAACTCGGACCCCATCCAGGAGGCCTAGAATAAAACAGAGTCAAACCATAATCAACAATGGTCCAAAGAACACGACACATCGCTCCCATACTCTTCCACTATTCTTGAACATTCCTCCTGTAGATTGACATGCTCGACTTGGCCGAGGGCCTCCGAGGGAGGATCGCGGGCGTCCCGAGGCCGCCGGGGGCCGCCGCGGGCCGCGCCGAGGTCCCCCGAGGCCACCGAGGCGGCCCGTGGCCTCGCCCGCGAGAGGCCGCCCGCGAGGGGCCCCGCCCGCGAGGGGCCCCGCCCGCGAGGGGCCCGCCCGCGAGGGGCCCGCCCGCCTGCGGCGGCCAGGCGCGCCGCCACGGCGCGGCCGCCCGCCGCTGGCGCCCCAGAGGTCCGCCAGCGGGAGGGCGTGTCGCGGGGGCAGGAGGGCGGCGCCCGCGGCCGCGCCGGCGCCGTCGGCCTGGGCGGGTCGGCGGCGAACTCCTTCTCCTCCTTCTCCTCCTCCTCCTTGTTTTTCTCCTCCTCCTCCTCCTCCTCCTCCTCCTCCTCCCTCCTCCCTCTCCCCCCCCTCCTCTCCCCCTCCTCTCCTCCTCTTCCTCCTCCTCCTCCAACTCCTCCTCATCCTCCTCCTCCTCCTCCCCTCCTCCTCCTCCTCCTCCTCTTCCTCTTCCTACTCCTCCTCCCTCCTCCTGCTTTTCCCCTTCCTCTCCCTTCCTCACTCCCACCTACCCCCTCCTCGTCCTCCTCGCCCTCCTCCACCTCCCTCCTCCTCCTCCTCCTCCTCGTCCTCCTCCTCCTCCTTTATTGACGTTGCACAGACATGGATCAGTGATCGTTGCGTTCTGGGTGTGGAAAAAGGAATGCGCCGAGCCAACGAATGACGCCTGGCGGGCAGGAAAGAGGAACGGCTAAGAGCAGCGAAAAGGGTACATGGGCTGTAATGTCCTCTTCCTTTTCTTTCTCCTCCTCCTCCTCCTCGAGAACGGATTCTGCTCCTCCACTCGGGACCCTGGAGTATGTCCCCCTTCTTGGGGAAATGGCCACGGGGGTCAAGCGTGCGAACGCCCGAGCCGGGTGTGAATTTATGGGGGGCGATCACTGGGGGGGAGAAACGTGCACGTTCCGTGCCCCCTTTTGGGTCCCAGGGGGCCCTGTTAGGGCCCTGTTGATTAGGGCCCGAATGGTGCACTGCTCCTCACCCCCACATGTATCGCTCCCCCACTACTCGACGTCTGGCCGACGATGTCGTTTCTAGAAGCCGGGCGGATTCCCTCGATCTCGGCCTCCAGGGCTGGTCATCGGGTCCCTGCACCATCAACAACGGATAAGGGGCCCAAGCCTACCGCTGGGGAAGGGGTCGGGACAGCTGGGGTCACGGATTGAACAAGTCATATCCAAGGATATCGGGGGAGAGGTAACGAGCGGGGGCTCTCAAGAATTAACGGGGGCCTGGGCGGGGGGGAATTGGGGGGCGGGCAGAAGAGCAGTCGGCCGCGACGGGCGAGGGGCGGGGCAGAGGGGGGGGGGATGAGAGTGAGAACGATGATGGCCTGGGGGCGCAGCGTTCCTCCCCGACGCCTGCGCACTGCCCAGTGGGCCGACCTTCGGCCGTGGAAGCTGGGGGGGGGGGGGGCAAACGTGCGCGGCGGGGATGTTAAGCTGGAGCCGCCGCCGCCGGGGGGGGGGTCGGTCTTCGAGGGCCTCGGCGGGCGGCGGATGTGGATGGGGTTGCCCCGCAACCTCCAGGGGCCCCAACGTTGCCGAGGTCCCAGAAGATCGTTGCCCCAGGCGGTGGTTGTGGATAAGTTCCCGCCCAGGAGGCCAGAGACGCACTCGGCAGCAGAGAACAAGGGGGGAGGGCGGCAAGAGCGAGGGGAAGGCAGGGAAGGAGCGAGGATGAGGGTGGAGGGACGGGGCAGAGCAAGGAGACGGGTGAGGGCGAGAAGTAATCAGGGGGCGGGGAGGACGGCGAGGGTGAGGGGATGGAAGGGCAAGTCGAAGAGATTGGAGGGGGCGTGCAGCAAGGAGGAGAAGGAGGAGGAGGAGGAGGGATAGCGGGCGGGGCGGAGAAGGCGGCGGGGTGAGAAAGGATGACGATAATACATGCTCGGCCGAAAGCTTCTCATCTTGCCTGAAGACAATGGATCCACTTGGATCCCATAACGTTTGGGTGCGCGAGAGTAAAATGTATCCGATATTCGATTGGATGGATGGACTTGTTTCGGCGTGAACGCCTCGTGCGTCCAATCTTTTCCTGGGGTAACTCTATAATGCAGATCAGTACCTGGGGCCATACGGGAACGTACTCCAAGCCTTGGACATGCATCACAATGCTATATGGAGGTGGGGTTTCTTCAACAACGTGACGGACGAGGAGGGATGAGGGATGAATAGAAGACGCGGACGCAGAGGATGCGGGATCATGAACTCATGACTATGTTCAGCACACGGTCTCGGAAGATGACGCGTATGAGAACGAGGAAGAAGATGAGGGCCCGCCGACTCGACGGCTCACATCCGGCATCGGGGGCTCAAGATGAACATATGTTATGGCGGCCTGCAGGCTATGGGGGGGAGAAGCAGGGCGCAGAGGAGGACGAGGAGGGAACGAGAAGGGGGAGGGAGGAGGGCGACGCAGAGGAAGAAGTTCTCCCGGGGGCGGCACCCCCATCGCGAGGCGGGCACTCCGCGTTCCATGGCTGCGGCGCGAGGGGGCCGCTGCGGCGCGAAGAGGGGAGGGGAGAAGAAGGGGGAGGCGAAAAGAGAAGGAGGAACGAGGGGAAGGGAGCGACGCTGTGTCCAAGTGGCCGAGGAGCCTCTACAGGAGTAACGCCTCGCTATGGGAAGAAGGAGTAGGGGGGAGTGGGAGTGAGGACGCGCCGAGGAGGATCAGGGGGAGGAGGATCAGGGGGGAGGTGGATTGAGGACGTTGAGGAAGAGCAGCGCTTAGGGGAAGGGGCGTCGAAGAGCAGAGTCTTGGGAGGAAGGGGATAAGGGGAGGTGGATGGCGGAGGGGGGGAAGGGGAGGGGAACTGAGGGGAGAGCGAGAGAGAGAGAGAGAGGAGACGGATGCGGGGAGCAAGGAAAGACAGGAGTGAGACGAAAGAGGCGCAAGAACAGAAAGACTTCTACCCACTCGAAGTGCATCTAGCCGTGTTCACCGACGTATGCCATCATACCAGACCAATCATACATTCGCGCGCTTGCGCATGTTGCTTGCGACAGGCACATCTAGACTGCGGAGCGAACGTGGCACCAATATTGGTGACCAATGACGCAGTGGTATCTCAAGCAGCACGCGGGCACATGGCTAGTCGAGCTGCACCTTTCCCTGGCCTCGACACTGTGCTGAGACGCCGTTCCCTCGCAAAGTCCTTCCAGCATCTCTTCGCGCATGGCAGTGGCTGTCAAAGCTACTAATCCCTGGCGCAATCATTGCCGCTACGGCTGCTAGCGATTATATAAGGGAAACGCACCTAATTGTACGCACCTTTCCAAATCCAGGCCGACTGGCTCGCGCTTCCGCAGAGCCAAGCCTGAGTGAACTAACTACATGCAGCGAGGACCAAAACTCAAGACCTCCGACGCCTTGTGTTACCACGACGCGGTCCCCCAGACATCTCGATCCCATCGCTCATACATGGTCTGTCGTCGGTTGGATTGTGATGGTGAAAGCCACCACTGACAGACCCAAACGCATGACATTTTGGACATCGGGGATTCTTCGCGTTGCCCAAGATAAGAGCAGACGAACCCGCCTTCGCTCAAGAGCGGTCCAGGGACCCCTCACAGACATCAACCCCACAAGCTCCCCGAGCTGTGTGAGGCTTTGGCCACGCGGGCCCCCATCACAGGGCTACCACGAACAAAACAGTTTAAAACAACACCCCTCTGACATCATTCCCCCCGGAGGCATGCGACCATTTTCACTGTGCTGGGCGATTTCATGATTCCTCCGTCCTCCTCCTCATCCTCCCTCATTCCCTCATACCTCCTCCTCTTCCTCCGCCTCCTCCTCCTCCTCCCCATCCTCCTCCATATGTCATCTATCCCCTCCTGCTCCTCCTCCTCCTCCTCCTCCTCCTCCTGCTCCTCCTGAACATCCTGCTCCGCATGCTCCTCCTGCTCCTCCAGTTCCTCCTGCTCCTCCTGCTTCTCCCCCTCCTTCTCCTCCTCCTCCTCCGCCTCCTCCTCCTCTTCCCCCTCCTCTTCCTCCTCCAGCTCCTCCTCCTGTTCCTCCCTCGCACCCTCATCAATCTCATCTTCCCCTCATTATTCCATCCTCCTCCCCGTCGTCGTACCTCCCCCCTCCTCCTCTTCCTCCTCCGCCTCCTCCTCCTCTTCCGCCTCCCCTCCTCCTCCTCTTCCTACTCCTCCCTCCCTCCTCCTGCTTTTCCCCTTCCCTCTCCCGCCCTCATTCCCACCTACCCCCTCCTCCTCCTCCTCCGCCTCTTCCTCCGCCTCCTCCTCGTCCCCCTCCTCTTCCTCTCCTCCTCCTCCTCCTCCTCCTCCTCCCCCTTCTCCTCCTCCTCCTCCTCCTCGTCCCTCCTCCTCCTCTAAGTCCTCCGCCTCGTCCTCCTCCTCCTCCTCCTCCTTCTCCGCCCTCTCCGTATGTCATCTATCCCCTCGTCCTCCTCCTCCTCCTCTTCCTCCTTCTCGTCCTCCTCCTCCTCCTGAACCTCCTGCTCCTCATGCTCCGCCTGCTCCTCCTGTTCCTCCTACTCCTCCTGCTTCTCCCCCTCCTCCTCTTCCTCCTCCTCCTTTCCTTTCCTCTCCTCTTCCTGCTCCTCCCTTCCTCGTCCTGCTTTTCCCCTCCCCTCTCCCTCCCTCGCTCCCGCCTACCTCCTCCTCCTCCTCCTCCATCTCCTCCTCCTCCTCCGCCTCCTCCTCCTCATCGTCCTCCTCCTCCTCCTTCTATCGACGGAGGCCAGGGGCCGCCTCCTAAGCGCCGAGCCCTCTCGCCACACGCCGCGCGGCGCGAAGGACGCAACCGGGCCCGGCAAGCGGGTGAGCGGGGGCCGCCTCCCCGGGGATCCCCGACGCGGGGCCCGCGGGGGGGCCGAATTATTGCAATACGCGGGCCGCGGGCTCCGAACGGGCACGCGCGGGCATTGGAAGGAGGGAGGGGGTTTTCCTCTGCTTCTCTCCTCCTCCCTCCTTCCCTCTTTTTGTTCTCCGCGTCCTTTTCCTCCTCCTTCCCTTCCCCTCCGCCTCCTCTTCCTCTTCCAACTTCCCTTTTTTTTTTTCTCTCTCTCTCTCTCATTATTTCGCTCGTTTTCTCTTTTGCACCGCTCCTAGGCGATTCCAATGACCGAACAGCTGGAAAGAGCCTGCACGCAAGGGCACAACGAAACCCGTTGCACTGGTCCGCTCCTTTCCGGAAGGAGAGAGGGAGGGGGAAGGACGACTCCCTCTCACAGGCCAGAGAGGGAGAAAAGAAAACTTGCCGTCGTTCGGGCGCCCATTTCCCGTGCATGTTTCGGTGTCGTGCGTGTTTTTTGACTCGATGGTCCAGGATGGTCCTCGATGGTTCTCGCCGAGAAAAAAGGCACGCGTCCGAGCGATGCCAAGGAAGGGGGGCGCGAGGAGAGGCGTTGTAGCGCTAGCCTTGCTGGCGAGTCGCATTGGCCCGGTCGCGCGGGGGCGCCCATGGGGAGTGGACTGAGGGACCCCCCCCAAAGGTCCCCGAGGGCACGCCTCCAAACAAAGCCTGCCCGATGGGGCCAACATTAAGTCGGGCCTGCCCCCCTCCAGGGAGATTTTGGAGGAAAAATAAAGGATAGCCCAAACATATTCCCAAATAGTCAAACATAAGCAAAAACTAGTCCCCGGACCATCTTTGGACTATTTTTGCGGATTCCTCCTGTAGAGGGACAAGCCAAACTTAAGGCTAACAAGGACGTGCTGTTTGGCGTCCAACAAGTGGCCCCAGGGGTGGCAACATGCGGCGGCCCTCTCGATTCACGTAGCCGTCCGACTCCAGGCTGGCTGGCCCCTCGCTGTCTGCTCGAGTTCGGCTGCTGGGGACGCCCCAGTCGTCGCTGGCCAGGTCATCGCACCCTGCCTGCCACATGTTTTCGCACGACCGCCCTCAAGGCCATATATCGGCGGTGGACAAGCCTCCCTTTAGTAGACCTCCCGCTCGTGAAAAAGGCTTGGGACCGAAACCGACGGACCTTGACCCGCAAAAATGATGGCCGCGACGCCCCCTCGCGCGCCGAAAACAGCAAATTCCTTAATTGACGTGTCAGGGTAGGAGGTCCAACCGCCTCCGATATAGATATAAGCACTCGTCGCTGCTGGTTGGCGCGTCCTCCTGCCGTCGCAGCAGCTCTGCAGCAGAACGAGGCATGGGCCGCTGGCCCACGAGCACCCAGTCCTTGTGCGCTTCGTCGTGTCCGTGGCCTTGGTGGCTCCACCAGGGCCCAGCCTACGAGCTATCTCGCCCCCGTCCTCGTAATGGCCGAGAGCGCTCATCTCTGTGGGTGCCATCGTGTCGTGGGGCTTGATATGAGCGGGACCCACGGATTTGGCGATGGCTCTGGTGGCGAAGTCCTCCGTGATAGGCCCACCCTCGTCGTTCAACGTCCTGAATACAGGCTCTGTCCGCTCGTCGCTCTCCTCGTCTTCCTGGGACGAGTCGGTTTTGGGAGGCTCAGTCTGTTGCCCGCGTAGCTCAGCTTGGGCCGTCGTCGTCGTTGCTCAGCCTGTGGCCCTCGTAGCTCAGCTGGTGATCCCCGTAGCCTTGCTTGTGGCCTTCGTAGCTCAGCTTGCGGCTCTCGAATATCAGCTTGTGGTCCGCGTGGCTCCGCTGGTTGCCCTCGTAAGTCTACAGCTGGTGTTCGGCGTTCCCCGACGAAGTCTGCGCTGACTTCGCCGGGCTTGTCGACGCGACGCAGGCTGAGACGCCCGACCGCAGAAAGTTGCTGGGCGCCCCGCATCGGGATTGGGCCCCGCCCCGCAGAAATGGGGCGCGACAGTGAGGCGGGAAGATAATGCGGCGTAGCGCGCCTGCCGCAGTCGGGTATCTTCTGACCCGGGTCAATCCAGACCCATGTCAGCAGAAAACCCAAAAACTGCAATGCAAGACAACAAAAACTGCAACGCAGGTCTTCCCAGACCCGGGTCAGCCAATATGCGCGGCCGCCTGGCGGCCACGAGCGGCTCGCTGACACGGATCAGCCAGAGGGGGTCTTCGCAGGATCCTGCAGGATCCGGTGCCCTGGCTGACACCCGTTTGCATTGACCCCCGTCTCGTGAGTCCCGATGCAGGCGCCGATGTCGGATCTGGCCACAGACAGCCTGTTGACAGCTAGCAACTGGCTGCAACCAACGATTGCACACGAAGATCGCCGCAGGCGGCGACTTCGAACACTAGCCGCAGGCACTTCGCTCTTGAAATGAACTGACTGTAACGAATGAACAGGAGGGCCGCCGCAGACGCGGACTTCGAACACCAGCCACAAGTAATTCGATGGCGAAGGCAGCTGATTGCAAATGGATGTGACGAGTGCGCAGGAAGCCCGCCGCAGGCGCCGATTTCGAACACAAGCCACAACTACTTGGTCATTGAATGGACTTTATGAGAATGGGTATCGGGACGCAGTTGGTCATATCCCATCGTCTCAGAATGCAGCCGGCTGTGAATAAGCGCATCTGGGCGCAACTGAACGCAACTGGGTGCAACTTCGTAACGTAGTGTAACTACGCAATACCACGCGCAACTGGGTTGAGTGATGACGAGGGCAACTGAAAGCACCCAAACGTACATGAGGGTAGCCAAATCGCAACATCGTTTAACCTTAGTGTAACGCAGAGTGGACCAATGTGACACAACGTAACCCAGCGCAACCCAGTGCAAACCAGTGGAACCCAGTGTAACTAAGTGCCACTGAGCGTAACTGCGTGCAACGTCGCGTAACGTAGTGCATATATGCGAAGCTGAATTTAGTCTTGCAAAATAATGCACTTCAGCGTAGGTCAGCGAAACATAATGGAACATATCCTCAGATGGTGTCAGGGCTCGATCCGGCGCCCGCTGCGGCCGCAGTGAAAAAAAAATACAACGACTTCGGGGATGGAGGACGCTCCCTTGTCCAAATGGGGCCTTCGCATCAAGCCTATGGGAGCTGAAGTCAAATACTTGAGCATACGTAACAGCTACACAGCTGAGGGACGGATCCTTTTCAAAATGGGACTCTCGTTGGGTCTTCCTCGAAGTTGATAAAATCAGTGGTGAGCATCGTTCCACACATGGGGGTGGTCCTTTGCCGCAGCGGGGATATCGCTTGACACGTCGTGGAACTGCACTGTGATGCGCCTTCGAATTCTGAAAACGGGGCCATTGCCAAACTGGCAGGCACACAATGTACTGGTCGCTCAAGGGGGGGGGTCTTCTTGTAGTGAGAAGCGTGGCTTGTAAGGCCTTGTGAGAAGGGGAGTCGGGACGGCAGGGTGTATTGCAGACTGGTTGATGCATCTTGGGTTTGCTCTGATCCTCCTCTTCCTCCCCCTTCCCCCCCCTCCACTCCCCATCCCCTCATCTACGCGTCCTCTCCCTCTCACCGCGCGCGCGCTCGCGACCCCGCTCGCGCACGGGTGAGATAAGAGGCAGGAGAGGGAAACGGAAAGGGAGGAGGAGGAGGAAGGATGCAGGCGGTGGGAGGAGAGAGAGGGCGAGGCGGGAGAGAATTAGGACAAAAGGGGACGAGCAGCAGAGAACATGTGCGAGCAAGGATGGGGAGCATTGTAGGATTCTAGGTTGGCCACGCGCTCGCCCCGAAAGGTGCAGGGAGGGGAATGAGAGGCAAAGGCAGAAGCGGGCGAAGAAAGAATATGGCAACTGGGTGATTCCCTCCTCCTGCGAGAACTGGGCGACACCCTCCTCCTCCTCCTCCTCCTCCTGCTCATGCTCCTCCTCCTCGTCTTGCTCCTCCTCCGCCTCCTGCTGCTGCTGCTGCTCCTCCTCCTCCACAATGCCTGGCTGCATGATGGCAAGAATGTCATCCTGACGCTCGTCCTCCTCCTTCTCCTCCTCCTCCTCCTCCTCCTCCCTTCCCGAACGACCACCCTGGGCGCCACCCCGGCAAGCTGCTGCAGGCTGCCCACGCCGCGCCCCTCCATGGCGACGCCCAACTCCCGAATGGGGCGGGGCAACACACGGGCACCGCCGCACGGACGCCCGAGCAGGGGCCCGTGACCTCCGCCGTCCTGCCACTGTGCGGAGCTCCAGCGCCCACAACCCCGACACTCGTTCGTGAGAGCGAGAGCGGGCACTACCACCAGAAGTCCGTAGACCTCCGTTTGCGAGGACCACCCCCCGAGCTGGTGGCACTCCGTTCAGGGCACTCTCTGGGGGCGCGCCCGGAACGGGGTGCCACCAGCTTGGGGGAGCGGCGCCAGCCGCCCTACCTGGTGGTAGTGGTTCTTTCTTCTCTGGTGTCTCGCTGGGTTTCGGGCGCCCAGAATAGTCGGCTGGTCTTGAAGGGACCCAGCCCCTACCAAGTGGGCCTCCGGAGAGGGCAGGCGCAGCAGGAGCCTCACCTCAGAGGGACATGGACCGATGCCGCTACCATTCCCTACTCGTCACGGCTCGATTCGTCTCGAAATTCTAGTCAGAACGCACCCCAGGGGAGATCCAGAACGAAGCGGTATCGGCAACTTCTGCAGAACCGGCGATCCGGACTTCTGCTCATGGCGCCTGAAGTCTGCGGGGCGTAACTAACCCTGGGTCGCCCAACTTCGACCTTCCCACTTCGAGCTTCGCGAAGCCCGCAGCGCGCAACGTGCTCGTCCTCGCGCTCTCGCGCGCGCGACCCCCGGCAGAAAACAATAATTCTGCAGCCTGGGAGGCGAAGCGCGATTACCTTCGGGCTCACCTGGGTGAGCCAGAGGACCCCTTGAGCCAGGATAGGCATTGATCCGAGAAGGAGGAGGAGGAGTCTGATGAGGAGGCTGAGGAGGAGGAACAGGAGGAGGAGGAGGAGGAGGAGAGGAGGAGAAGGAGGAAGCGGACGAGGTGAAGGCGGAGGAGGAGGAGGTGGACGAAGAGGAGAAGGAAGAGGTGCTTCGGCTGAGGTGGAGGACACCTGGGGAGGCGGAGGAGGAGGAGGAGGAGGAGGACAGGCCAGCCAACACAGGCAAGCCTAACAGCGATAGCCTACTTCTTACAGTACGGTTAACAGCACAAGTCAACATGTACAGCCGTTGCAATCCTCAGCCGCATATCCGTAGCTACCAGTGGTTCGTGCTTACACACCAAGAAAATCAACAACAAACACGAGGGTCCTGGGACCATGGAGGTTCGGGGTGAACCGACAAAAACTGGGGCGCAACCCAAGAACTGCCAACGTGCACCTGCTTTGCTTCACAACTTTAAGCCTAGCGCTGCGCAACTTGACTCTATACTTGCGGTGGGCTGGAGGCGGCAGATGTTTACGGGATTACTTGGGGAAGGCAAAGGAAGAAGCGCACCCAGACGCGACACTATCGGAGCGCGCGGCTGAGTTTATGCCATGCACCACTCTCGTCAAAAGTTTGGCGTCCCAACTTGCACTCATTCTCTGCTATTGCACCTCACACTGGCCAACCAATACCACTACAGTCGGCCTTGATTGGACAGGACACGCGAGAGGACACAAGACCACTCCGAGGGCCACATCGCCATAGGAGTGTGAGAAGGCAAGTGTCGCGAGGCACAGGACACAAGGGTACCCTTGAGCTGACAAGGTCGACCTACTAATCCGGGTCGACTGTAACACCAACTTGCGGGCACCTCTACCGTTTAGCCTGGCTTTCGTCTATCTCCGCGTCACATTCTGTAGTCCTCTTGAATCTCGATGGGCCGTCCAATACATTTGTTATCTGAACTTGCAAGCTAGCTTCGCTGCAATCCTTGACTTGAGTGCTGGGTCGGGTGGTGTGGGATTATGGGGCGGAACATGGGAAAGAAACTCCAAGCACGACAGCCTTCCGCGAGTCGCCTGACTGTTCTGCACGCCTATATCGACCTCTCCCTACTCTGATTCCTCCTTTGGTCTTGTTCATCATTCCCGATCCGATGGTCATCATGTACTCCTCAGGTACCTGCTCCAGTTCAGGTGGCGGGCGCTTAACTACTCTGCGCCTTTGTTTGCCCTTCCTGCTGCTCTTCTGTTTTGCCTGTCTTTGCTCACAGCGCCCGCCACCTGCTTAAGTTGCTTGCCTCTTCGCCTAAGTCGGCGATTTTTTTTTTGCACGTCACGACTCACGCAACGATCTCCGATCCATGACTGCGCAACGTCAAAAAGAAGGAGACGGAGGTGGAAAAGGAGGAGGAGCAGGAGGTTGATAAGGGGGGAGGAGAAGACTGAGGCCGAGGAGGCCAGAACGAGGACGAGAATGCTAGGATGAGGCCCACGGACCACTCCGGAGCCCACGGGCATTGAATTCTGTGCTCTGCCCAGACCCGCAGCCGCCGGCGCGCTCGCCCACCGCGGGGGCTACCTGACGCGGAGGCCCTCCAGCTCCAGGTCCTCCTCGGCGCCAGCGCGGGCGGAGGACCGAGGATCGGGGATTCGGAGAAGGATCGGGAGTCAACTGAGGATTGGAGGAGGAGGAGGAGGAGGAGGAGGAGGAGGAGGAGGAGGAGGAGAGAGGAGAAGGAGAAGGAGGAAGAGGAGGACGACGACGAGGACGAAGATGGTCGAGGAGTATTTTGCTGGTTCGATGTTTGTTTAGCCTCCGCGGGGGTCCTCTTACGGCTGGAATCCCCTTGAAAACCTGGCCCCGAGAATTCCAGGGACTGATATTGAGGGAGAGCTCTGCGCAAGGGCCCGGGGAACTTGCCACGATGGGCCAAAGGAGAACTAATATCGAGCGGATTTTGGTCGGGGACCCGACCACGGGGGAGACCTTCCAAGAGGGCAGGGGGCTTCTTTAGGGCGAGAACGATGTCATGATAAGAGTGGCTTTTGATGCGTTCCAAGACTTCCAGAGCATCTAGCGGCACAGCCGGTGCGGAACCTTAGAACATATGGAGCACGCTGGAAGCCTTGGAACTCTTGGAGCGTACCATTGTCATTACCTCTTGCCCCTCTGATCCTTGGGCACCCAGCCAGCGTTCTGAGCTTGCCGCAAGGAGGCCCCCGATCCCTTCTATGAAACCACCTGCTCTCGGAAGGCCGGCCTCACGACCCCTTGCCCCTCCGATTCTTGGGCATCCAGCCAGCCTTCTGGAAGCTCTGCCGCAAGGGGGCCCCCGATGCCTCCTATGAAACCACCCGTTCGCGGCAGGCCGCCCCCCTCGCGGCGCCCCGTTCTCCGCCCTCTCGGCAAACGGCAGTCATTTCCTTCACATCTAGGCCCTGTAGAAAAATTCACGTTCGCTCAGCTCATACCATGTATTCGCCGAGGGCGGGTACGAGTGCAAACCTGTCTCTATGGGGTCTACGAGGCTCTCGAGTTATAATCTCTGGAGTCTCATACAGTCTGGTGATCGCTGGGGAATTTCTTTTGCTGAAAATTAGGGGCGGGTCCCAGCGGGAAAAATAGAAAAAATAGTAAAAATAGCAAAACATAGCTTTAAATAAATGTTTTCATTTTTTCATAAGTTTTCAATATGTTTTGATATTTTGGTGCCCGCACAGAAAAGAAAAATAGCAAAACATAGCAAAAAAAACAAACAATAGTTTTAACTAAATGTTTTCATATATTTTCCCATATGTTTTCATATTTTCGTGCCCGCTCGGAAAAGGAAAAATAGCAAAACATATCGTTTGTTTTAAAAGGCTTTCTATATATGTTAGCACACACGTGCTCATAATATCATATGTTTTAATACATTGGAATGCTGTCTCGGAAACTGAAAATACGCGCGAGGGCGCGCCAAAATGGGCGGCGCGGACGCATGAAGACGGCGCGGTGCCACGGGGGCTTTCGTTGGAGCCCCCCATGGGGCCACGGGGCGTGCGAGGGGTGCGCCGAGAGGGGTGGCGCGGATGCACGCGGGCACCGTGACTGGGACCTTCGGTGGAGCGCCGCGCGGGGCCACGAAGCGCGCGGGAGGTCTCGGCGGGGACGCAATCGAACTCCGCCAGCGTAGCCTTCGGTGGAGCCCCCTATGGGGCCACGACATGTGCGAGGAGTGCACGTCGCAATGGGCGGTGGGGACGCATGCGATACCTGCCGCGGGGGCTTTCGGTGGAGCCCCCTCCCTATGGGGCCGCGAAACGTGCGAGGGGCGCGCCGACATGGGCCGGGGGCGGCATGCGAACCCAGCCACTGGGGCCTTAAGTGAAGCCCCCTCTGTGGCCACGAAACGCGCGAGGGTGCGTCGAAATATGTGGCGGGGAAGCAGGCGGGCCCTGCCGCTGGGGCCTTCGGTGGAGCTCGCTATGGGGCCACGAAACTTGCGAGGGGCGCGCCGAAATTTGCCGGGGGGCGGCATGCGAACCCTGCTGCGGCTTGGCGCTGATTCAAACGAGTGCGCTTCCAGTGCGTTTCGTCATTGCGCGTGCTGAATAGAGCTTCGAGGTTTGATTCCCCTCCCCTACCCCCCTGGGGCGGGCTTTTCCTCCCTGCCTCGTTCTCTGCTTGATTCGTTATTCTACTTCGTAGTCGTGGAGCGCTTCCTTCTTCTGCTTCGCGATCGCGGGGCGCCTCGCTGTTCTGCTTCACAGTCGTGCTGCGCCTTGTTTTCACCGCCCGCCGCCGCGCGGATGCTACCCTCAAGTTGATTGCTGGTTGCTGCTGCTAGGGTGTGCCGGCCCATTCGATATCGCATGCTTCCGGGAAGCTCGCGGGGAATTTCTGCCTGGCGCCCCCTTTTCACGAGGGGTTTAACGGAGACGCGATAGCTTGCACCACATATTCGTGTCCACTGTTTATGACGACCTGTTTGCGCAGTGCTTCTGAAGACATGTTTGCCCAGCGCGAGTCCGGCTCCAGGGCCATTGCAGATTTTCGAGGCCGCGCCTTTGAACCCCGCTCTGAGTGCCACGTGTTCCACCCCTCCCTCCCTCTCTCTGCCCTGCATACCCTGTCTCGGCAAGACGAGCTTCGATCCAATTTTTGTCACAATTCCGTGCGATGCCGACAGTTGTCGCTCGAGGGTGCCATTTGCACATCAAGTCCCTCGTCTTCCTCTTCCCCCTCCTTCTCCCCCCCCTTCCTCTCCCCCTTCCCCCGCGTAGGGTTGACGTGCATAACGCAAGGGCCGTTGACCGAATGCTTGCCCCGACGGCTGCTCACGAAATGTTTTCCCCTGCGCGTGTACCGCATGCTTTCATCGCGTGGTAGGCTGAGCGAGCTGGGGGGTCCATCGCGCTGTCCGCCCCCATCTTCCCCCGCCAAAAATGCCAAGCGCGAGTGCCCCTACGCGCTTGTTGCCGGGAAGTTGCGCTGACTGCTGCCCCGTCGTCGTCGTCGTCGTCGTCCAAGTCGTCGCCGTCGTCGTCGTCGTCGTCGTCGTCGTCCGCCCCCGTCGGCCAGAACCCGATTGAAATGGGCCCCCGGAACCCTCCCGGGGTCCGAGCGCACAAGTTTTCCGCGCCGCGTCCGGCCGCGACGAGGAGAGCCGCCAGGGGCCAGAGGATCTCGATCCTCGAGGCTTGAGGCTCGAACCTGGACGTCGGTGGCCGTTCGGGATGACTCCGGCACCCCCGGGACGCAGTTTGTCGGTCCCGATCGATTTCTGACGGCCCTGGGTCCCGAAAGTGGCTCCCGCAGGCTACGACGCCGGAAGCCCGCCTCGAACTTCGAACCTCAGGGGTCGACGAAAATAGCTGGCGTCATCGGAGACGCGGCCATCTCGTCCGCCACAGCGGCGGCAGCCCAACTCCACGGGTTTCAGGCGGTGGGCGTGAGCGCGGCCCCCCCGAGCTCAGCCCACGCGCCGCTTCCGCGCGGGCGTCTTCGTAAGATTTGGGCGTCTTCGGCGCCGGGAACGGAAGGGGAGGTTCGAATCTCGAGGATCGAAGTTCGACGAGCTTTTTGTCGTTTTACGCCTCTGGAAGCCGCTTTCGGGCCCCGGGATCGTCGAAAATCGATCCATGGTGAAAAACTGCTTCGGAGGGGCCCTGGGAAGGGCCCGGGGGCCGATTTTAATTCGATTTCGGTCATCCTGGGAGGAGGAGGGGGAGGGCGACGACGAGGGCGAGGAGGACGAGGAGGACGAGGAGGGCGAGGGTTGGACATGACTGGGCGCTCCCGTAAGTTGACCCGGTTCGTTCGAATGTGTTTCGCAAATATTATTGGGAATCTCGTTCAAAGTAAACTCCGACCTTCCACCCCTCCAGCCTCCGCCGCAGCCGCCCGAAGACAAATAATTTCAAATTGCGGCCGTGCCCCCAAATTTGAAGCATGCCCCTTTGCGTTGCCCGGGGCCCCCCAGGAATCCCAGGGGCCCCGACGGATTCTGTTGGTTTGTGGAGGATTCCTCGAACCTTCCATCCTGGAGGATTCATTCCTGGGCGCTCTCTTGGAGCCGTTTCCAATCAGCGGATGGCGCACCAACCGACGCGCATACGCGCGCGCGTGGCGCGTGCTCACTACTGTGTTGACCGCGCTTGAACAGTCGCCATGCTGGCCTGGAGACTCAAGTGAGCCCTGAGCGGTGACCGATTGGATGTTGAACTTAACAGTGGTTCACCACCTATGAGCGAATTGGCATAACCAACGACGCGCGTGTGCGCGCGCGTGCTCAGCTGTATTGACCGCAATGGACCACTCGCCATGTAGGCCTGGAAATTCAAATGAGCCCTCAGCGGTGACCGATTGGATTTTGAAGTGATGATGGGTTCACCACCTATCTGTGCATTGGCACAGCCAACGACGCGTGCGCGCGTGGCGCGTGCTTAGTTTTGTATTGGCCGCAGTAGAACACTTGCCATGATGGCCTGGAAAATCAAGCCAGCCCTTGGCGGTGACCGTTTGGGTTGTGAAGTTCACATGGATTCGCCACCGATCAGTGAATTGGCACAGCCAGCGACGCGAGTACGCGCGCGCACGCGCGCGGTGCGCGTGATCAGTTCTGGCTTGACCGCAGTAGAACAGTCGCCATGTTGGCCTGGAAACGCAAGTGAGCCCTTAGCGGTGACCGATTGGATTTCGAGGTTGACACTGGTTCACCGCTTATCAGCGACTTAGCACAGCCAACGACGCGCGCGTCGCGTGCTCAGTTCTGCATTGAGCGCAATAGAACAGTCACCATGTGGCCAGGAGGCTGAAGTGAGCCCTTAGCGGTAGCCGATTGGTTAACATGGCTCCACCGCGTGTCAGTGAATGGGCACAGCCAACGACGCGTGCGCGCACGCGCGTGCTCAGTTCTGTGGTTCGTCAAGAACCGTGGCAATGTTGGCCTGGAGACTCAAGTGAGCCCTTAGCGGGGACCGATTTGATTTTGAAGTGAACATGGGTTCACCACCCATCAGTGAATTGGCACAGCCAACGACGCGCGTACGCGCGCGCGCGTGGCGCGTGATCGGTTCTTGTATTGGCCGCAATAGAACAGTGGCCATTTGGGCCTGGAACCTCA